GGCCGTCGGCAAAAAAGGTTCCCTGTCTTACATTATGAACGTGTTGAATTGTCAACACATAGGTAAAACTGATTTGTTCAATGGGTCTACTCTAGGTGCAAGTAACAATAGGATTTAGGCCTACCTTGGGTAAGTCACATGCTCTCAGCTTCCGGGAAAGGCAATGGCAAACCTCCTCTGAACAATCTTACCAAGAAAAACCCATGATAGGTTTCACCTTAGAATCATCATAAGATGGAACTGATGTGAAGGCGCGCAACAACAATTTGTATTTCCCTTTCCCCCCAGTTTAGGACTGAAGGTGGCTTACAAAAGTTAAACAGACATACTTAAAATACATAGCATACAAAAATTAAATTAAAAGTAATCAAATTATAAAATAACTTAAAGCCAGGTTAAACAAAAACCATTAAAGACAAGTAAAAATCCCGCACATTATACAAGACATTATTTCCCCCCCCCATAAAAAAACCCCAAAAATTAATCACTTCTCAAAGGCCTGGCAGAGCAAAAACTTTCTTCACATGGGTGAAGAAAGTAAGTACAAAGGCTGCCAAAGCTCCAGAGCTTGGGAGCAACTACCAAAAGCACAGCAACTCATGTTCCCTCCAGATGTACCTGTGAGGCTGGAGAGACAGAGAGAAGGACCTTCCCAGAAGATCTTAGCAATAGCAACAGCACTTACATTTCCATACTGCTTCATAGTGAACTCAGCACTCCCTAAGCGGTTTACAATGTGTAAGCCAATTGCCCCCAACAAGCTGGGTACTCATTTTAGCGACCTACAAAAGGATGGAAGACTGAGTCAACCTAGAGCCCTGCGGAAGGCTTTAGAATCATAGAATCCTAGAGTTGGGAGAGACCCCAAGGGCCATCCAGTCCAACCCCATTCTGCCATGCAGGAACTCCCAATCAAAGCATCCCCAAAAGATGGCTATCCAGCCTCTGTGTAAAGACCTCCAAAGAAGGAGTCTCCACCATTCTCCAAGGAAGTGTTCTTCCACTGTCGAATAGCTTTTACTGTCAGGAAGTTCCCCCTAATGTTGAGCTGGAATCTCTTTTCCTGTAGCTTGCATCCATTGTTCTGGGTCCTATTCTCTGGAGCAGCAGAAAACAAGCTTGCTCCATCCTCAGTATGATATCCCTTCAAATACTAGAAACAGGGCTATCATATCACCGCTTGACTGTCTCTTCTCCAAGCTAAACATACCCAGTTCCTTAAGTCGTTCCTCATAGGGCATGGTTTCTAGACCCTTCACCATTTTGGTGGCCCTCTTCTGGATACGCTCCAGCTTCTCAACATCCTTTTTGAATTGTGGTGCCCAGAACTGGGCACAATATTCCAGACAAGGCCTGAGCAAAGCAGAATAAAGTGGCACTAT